GCCACCACCCCCCCGCCCCCATTTGGCCACCACCACCCCCTCGCCCCTCCCCCCGGTCCACATGTGGCTGCATCCAGCTGGAAATCCTATGCCTCAGGCAGCCAGCACAGTGGCACTTCTAGCTTACTGACACCACCCGTTTTTCAGTTCAAATCCCTCTTAACCAGTACAAGTGGGGAACGGGCCATTCCCCACTTGTGCTGGCTAACAGGGATTTGAACTGAAAAACTGGTGTAAATCAGTAAAAACCAAATGACTTAAAAATAAATAAATAATCAGGGAATTTAGCAGTGAAAATCAGTAAAAACCAAGAATGCGGAACACTTGCTGTCATCTACAAGAGTGTATTGCATTTATATGCATCCTGGATAACAGCATAATTCACTTAACTGCAAAACACATTGCTAGTCCCAGTTCTTTCCGTTGCTTACATGATAACAAACACTGGTTATCAGCATATCCATTAAGGGCATAGAACCTCACAACTCCACTGCCTATTTTGTAATGTAAGTGTATGCACTTAAAGAGCGTATCCCCACAAGCGGGAACGTGCATTTCCTCGGGAACTAACAGCAGCAGCAGGGGGCCTCCCAGGGCTACAGCAGCAGTGATGCAGGTGCACAGAGCCTGGCCAGCAGCCAGAGCCTACCTCTGGCCAACCAGGCTCTGGTTTGGGGCAATTCATGCTGCATTGCCTTGCTTTTTTGACCGCATTTGGGTTTTTTTGACACTGGTGTCATAAAAGCTCACCACAGCGCTGTGAATGCATATACATGTGATGTATGTGCTTTGCAGCGCTGCAGATAGGGGCCAGGGGTTGCACTTACATTGTGCTATTTGGTGCAGAAACTGTGAAGGGGGAAGCAGCAGTGCCTCCGTTATGAGAAGTCTTAAAAAGGATGGGAGCTGGTCAGTTGTGAGATTGTGCTCCCTTTCATTTTCAAGGCTCAATTCTAAAAAGTATATGACTGGAACAACTCCCAGGAGGTCAGCTAGTCTAGTCCCCTGTTTAATGCGGGATCATCCTTGCCTAAGCCATCCCAGCCAAGTGTTTGTCTAACCTGCATTTAACATCCAGTGATGGCAAGCAATTCTAGTGCCTTTCTAAGTAGGTTTCTAGTAGGAGCTTCAAAACTGACTAGCTCTGGTTCCTTTCAAACCTCTAATAGCAACACTGACATAGCTGTGTACATTGTTAACATTACACTTGCAGTAAGTACATACTCTGGGAAAGCACATAGCCTTTTTTGAATCACAAAGATGATTTAGTTTAACAGGGTACATTATGCCACATGCATCTACTTGAGCCATTCTAAATTTACCCACTAGAGAGCAATAGTGCAGTCATGTTTCTCTTGCATACGCACTAGTCTGGATAGTTTGCTCGATTTGTTTTTTGGGTTTTTTTTCCTTCCAAACCTGGGAGCCTGACATTAGTATCAATATATCAGTGTAATCTTAGCACAGTGAGCTATTGTCCATAACTAGGATTCATCGCCATGACGTACAATATATGCTGCAACAAGTGCAATGAATGGAGGAGTTCAGTTGCACTTTATCTCTGAATTGGCTTGTGTGTTGTTTAAGAGACCTTGCCATTCTGGCAAGGAAAAATCCATTGTAGCCTATATCATGCCACAAAGGAACTACTTAAACCAGTGTGAAGCAGAATGCTTGCAGTATGAATTTTAAATGAAATGTTGCTCAAGGCAATAGTGATGATAGCTGACTTGTACACCTGGGACCTGGAACTCTCAGGGAGCTGGGAGAGGTTTCTTTAAAAAGGCCACTTGACTGATCACAATCACTTTTCCTTGCAGTCAGAGAGAGTGGAGAAGGTGGTGGTAGAAGAACTCAATAAAAAGCTAGAGCTGGCAGAGAAGGCTTTGGCTACAAAACAGCTTCAACTGGATGAAATTAAGCAGACCATTGCTAAGCAAGAGGAAGACCTTGAAACCATGGCTGTCCTCCGGGCTCAGGTACTTCAGAAAACTCGAGGAGGCTTGGATAGTTCCCCCTGTCCAGAAGCTGGAAGAATATACTTAATGCTTCAAGCCTTTGCTCTGAGTGCATGCCTCCACTTTTGTTAATAGATAGTATTCCCTTTTTTCATTTGATCTTGCAGATTTCTCTAGAATCTGTATTTGGGTGAATTCCCAAGTCTGTTCCCTTTAAGAGAAGGCAGTTGTAGGAACTACTGGAGTTTGAATTCTGAAGCAGAGTTTGGCACCATAGATAAAATGTTAGATAATGTGACTAGTGTAATTACTGGCCTCCCATAGGCTTAAGATAGCTGCATTATCATCAGTGGGCATCTCTACTACCAGTTTCTGTCAGATTTGCAACAAAGAGCCAATAAGAAGTCTGGCCTTGTGATTAAGGAACTCTTGGTTCTTTTTCTGGCCCTACTACATACTTCCTGTGTAACCTTGGTCATGTCATTGACTCGTTCTCTTTCTTCACATCACAGGCCTCCAGTGACAAGGATGCTTTCTTCCCCCACCTTTTCTGTGTAGACTGCCGGCTCACTGATCTGTGACTGCTTAGGAATATGTGCAGCCTTTTGCAAAATGCTGGCCCTGATTCTGGTTGGGACCCGTAGCACTACTTTCTTTGTGCCTGCTAGAGTTTTAGTCTTTGGCATATGGCATAACGTGTACCAGGAGGATTAGAGCTGTTGTAAGGGCACAGTGATGAATGTGACTCTATTTCCTTTTCTGACCAGATGGAGCTTTATTGTTCTGACTTCCATGCTGAGAGGGCAGCGAGAGAGAAGATTCATGAGGAGAAGGAGCAGTTGGCTGTCCAGCTGGCATACCTGCTAAAAGACCAAAGCAACCTTGAAGATCTTGGCAGGTAAAAGGCACTGCTGGCTGGGATGTCTTTGTATCATCTTGTCAGGTATCCAGGTTGTAACTGTATTGGTCTAGAGGCAAGAGGAATCAGAACTCATGGTAGAGGTGATATCTTTTATTAGACCACCTAGAACAACTAGCAGCGGTACAAGGTGTCCCACTGCTAGTTGTCCCCAGGGAACCAAACATCCACACTCATCTGGACGCAGCCTTAGAGACTTAAATGCTTCTGCCTGGTTTCAGACCAGCACAGACTACCACCATTGTCCTCAGATTGTACTTTAGGAAGGGTGTTTACTCTGGTGTCTTGGTTAAATTTCCATTTGGATAATATATACTCTGTCTACTCTAAATTCTGTCACCATCCGCCACATTTTAATATAGTTTTCCATGGTATAACTGAGTGCAGAAACTAGTCATTCTGTGATTAGTGGTTATGTGTTTCACCAAAGCTAAGAACTTGAAAACCAAGATCTCTTTGCAAACATTACATGTGAATGCATCCTGCTCTCCTGCAGGACATGGAAGACATTTACCCCAGAATGCTTTCCTGTATAACTTGCCTTTTACACTTCAAATAGACTTTCAGTTATGTTAAACAATTTAAAGTCCTTAGAATGTTCCAAAGAATCAAATCCAATCCTCAGAGGTGTTTAAGTGCCTAACTCCTATTGACTCCCAGAATTTGATAGGATCCCAGTTCAGTGGGAGCTAGGAACCATCTACCTTTGAGGATCTGGACTCGATTTCTGGTCTGTAAGGCAGTATGAGTTAATGCAGGGGTCAGTAAACTAAGGCCTTTGGGCCTATTAATCAGTCTCATCCATCTGATCTGCAAAGCCCAAATGTTGGCAGCATTTTGGTGGTTGTCAACAGCAGGATGAGGGGGTATTCTTCAATAAGGTGTGTTCATATTGATGGGAAGAAACAGTGGCCAGGTAGGAAGAACTGGCTGGCTTGGGACCAAGCAACATTATTTTGGCCCACTGCTCCTAAAAGATTGCTTGAATTAATGCAGTTCTGGGTGACCAGATCTACTGCAGAACATTGTGACACCATCTTCTGTCTGACCTGGTGTAACATCAAACAGGAGTCTCTTCCTCATAGGTTTTTTCACTGTATTTGAAAGCAGGTGCCTCACCCCTTCTTTCATCTCTGCAGAAATTCTCTGGTGGAAATGCAAAGTCGGCATGGAGCAAGAACCTCGCTAGATCGAGAACGTTTGCCTCATCTTGTTCGAAGAGGTAAATCTAAGAGAACTTTTGGATCAGGCTCTGAAATCTAGCCCTGCTGTGCCTAGTACAAACTAGCTTTGTGTTATGCCAGGGGCAGAGCGGACAACACAGAGTACTTTCAGGACTGCTCTGTCTTTGCCCAGCTGCTTGCTTGGGCATTTTGAGAGCTGCTGATTGGACAGAGGGTGCAGCACTCCTGTGACAGCACAGCAGTTCATTCTAGCATAATTTCCTAGTGCTAAATTCATGCTTGCACAATGGAGTAAAAATGGGGCCTAATAGTGAACAGTCTTTCATTTGCTTTATTGGCAGGAACTGGTGGTCAAGACTGGCAGCAATCGAATATTCCAATGCATTCTTGCCCCAAATGTGGAGAAATTCTCCCGGACATTGACACGCTTCAGATCCACGTGATGGACTGCATCATCTGAATGCTGGCCAACAGCTCCTCACAGAGGGGAATTTTTTCACCTGCCAAGCAAATAGATTTTTTTTCTGCTAGAACAGGATCCAATTCTATTCCAAAGAAAGTCTTATAGGGTATTTTTCCCCCATTGGGTTCAGTGAAAGCCTTCACTCTGACCCTTCTTCACACCTCTGGTTGGCTGTTCCTGTTTTAATTTGCTCTAGGATGAGACTATTTATAGTCTAAAATGAATAACTGTTGTAAAGAACTCCATGTATATTTGCAGCAGTGGAAGCCTTATGTAACCTTCACCTCACAAGCTTCTCATCCTGATAGTTGATAGTCAGTTATGACTGAGGAAGATTTATTGAACCTAGCTGAATGTATGCAGTCAAAGGGGAGATGAAGATGCACACTTTTTGTAAGTTTGAAAACTAAAGTGGTGATAAGTTTAACTAGGGAAAACTCAATCGTGTTGGAGAAGCTTTTAATAAAATGAAATAGTTTTGTATGACACATTTGGAACACATCTTGCTCTTTCTCCAAGTAGCAGTTTTATTGTGGCGCCTTTAACTGTGTAAATTTAGTGTAGAATACTTGATGAGACATATACGTTTCGCTTTGCTTTACTCAGATAGGAGCAAAGTGCAAGATAAATCGGTTGGGCCTGCAATATATATATACACTGGTATATGTCACTTGGTTTTATAGAAAAAGTCCTAGTTTAAAATGTGCAGCTGTAATGATTCACTTGAAGTTGTACAGTAGCATTCAAAATTATTTTGCTGAAAAGAGTTGGCACAGCTATAACCTGACTGGAAGAGACTTATCTGGCTTTCTCATTTACAGAACAAAAAATAAATCTGTTTCAAAATACAGAAACCAAGTCTGCTTGTAGATATTTTAGTTGCCTTTTTATTCAGGTGCACATGCAATCTGAAAATCCACACACACTGCACAAGTGCATATGCATTGGATTAATTCAATTGTGTCAGCAGTGCCTAAATTCCTAGTTTACATAGTGATGTAATAAAAGTGCTCTCAACCAGGGTGCCATGTCAGAACAGCCTTGACTTGAGGGGCTGAGCTTGCGGGGGCTGAGCTAGAATCTCACCATGACCGGCTGCTCTTTCTTGCTGTTGTGTGGAATTACCCCTGAAACCTAGAAAACGTGACATCAAAAAGTGAAGTGGAAATGCTCATCAAATGATGTTAAATATACCTTTTTCATCCAAGCATCTTGGGTCTCTTCACCAGCACTGACGGTGACAATTCTTGGCATGGGGTTTTAGTTTGCTTTTGTTTTACAGATGGAGAAACCACCATGCAGGGAACTTTCATCCCCAGGTTCACTCATAGCAATCACTACAGCCCAGGCTGCCTAGCTCCCAATCCCTTGCTTTTTAAAAATATGAAAAATATATGGGAGCTGGGCAGCCTGGGTTGTAGTAGTGATTGCTATGAAAAAGGTAAAAAGTCTGTGCAGGGTAAAGGTTTGTGAAATTTCAGTTTGCTCTGTCTGAGTTTTGAGCAATTACCTTTCCTTAAATGCTAAAAATGACTACCCAAGAAACATCATGGATTTCTACTACTGCAGTTAAAGTGACTTGAAACCAACACTTACTAGTCTTGCATCCAGATTTCACTTTGAGGGACTTTAGCCAAAAACATGGATGATATTATGTTGGTATTGACTAATGCCTCTTTAGAGTCATAGCATCATAGAGAAGTGGGGCTGGAAGGGACCTCCAGAGGTCATCTAGTCCAATCCCCTGCCTGAGACAGGATCATCTCTATCCAAACCATTCCATATAAACCGTAATTTAAACTCTACATAAGACTACCTTCAATCCTGACACAACATAAACCTAACACCCTAACCTGCCACAGGAAAAGAAGGGAATCATGCCAGGCGACATCCTGCTTCTGTGAAATGTCAATATGTGCTCGGTGGGTCCTGGGTAGAGAGACATGGCCCCCTGCTACAGAGGAAGGCAAAACCCCCCACAGTCCATACCAATCTGACTGTGGGGTAAAATTCCTTCCTGACCCCAAATCTGGTGATCTGTCTGACCCTGAGGGGAGGGGCAAGAGCCTCTAGCCAAGAACCTCAGGCTTTAGTCCTAGGAGCATTGGCACACCCCTCTTTGACAAACTAGGCTTAATCCTAACCAACTAGGCCACATCCAGATGAGCAGGAATATGCATTTTCCCAAGGGGCAAGTAACAGTGGCATGCCTTGTGTCACTGCTGCTTGCCCCTGGGGAACGCTGGGCCGTGTGTTCTCTGCCATGCAGTGGGTTACCCTGGGTGGGGTACGGGAGGCTGGGGCCAGGAACTCTGGTGGCCCCAGCAGCCCTACCTGGGGTCCTGGCGGCCTTGGGGAGCTGCAGCCACAGCACTCCTGCAGCAGGGAGTCTGGCCGGCAGCTGGGGCATGGCTCCAGCCAGCCAGGCTCCAGTTTTGTATGGTGCACGCTGACCACACATGGGCCACCCTGAGTGTTTTTTGGCATGGGTTTTTGTAATCCCAGGATCAAAAAAAACCCCACATTGCAAAGTCAGGGAGCACCTGCATGTGTAGTGTGTGGTGCCACAGACAGGTAGGTCTGCAGTGCCACATACCACACATCCGCGTCTCATCTGGATGCAGCTCTAGTGTCTTTCAGAGTTGCAAACTCCAGCCTTTGAAATGTGTGGGCTTCTCTTAATGTACCCAATTTTATTATGGTAGCTCTGCAATTACTATAAATTCTTTAGTATTAGCAATTTGATAGGATTACATTAGCTTTCACATGAATGTATTAAAACAGTGATTCTCAACTGGGATCCTGCAGCACCCTTGGGTGTAATGAGATCCTTTTAAGAGTGATGCACAATACTGGCACTATTGGGTGCACAAACATGTGCACATAATTCACAATATAAACCCAGATATTTTGAATACAAATCCCCAGTGTCAAAAACATCCCAACTTTTTGTCATCTTGCTGAGCTCTTTGCAATAGAATTGCTTCATTATTTTTTCAAAGACTGAGTGAAGCTGATCTGGTGTTTTCCAAGGGAAGCCTTGAGTCTATAAAGAAAAACTGTATTGGACTGGCTGCCCTTCCCTGCCCTCTGGCACGCTTGTGCTGGCTGCCCCCACACTCTGCGGCAGGCAGGCAGATGCATGACAGAGCCATGCTTTATGGGTTAGCTCATCCCTGCGGTTTCTCCCATGCTCCCAGGACCTATGAAAGGGGCGGTGGGGGCAGATGGCTCTGGTTGCCAGCATGTGCAACCTCAAGGGAGCAGCTTCAACTGCAGGGGTGGGAAGGGGAAGCAGGGGGTGGAAAGAACAGGGGATGAAGCCCTGCTGTTGTTGCCCTCCCTGGTATCAGCTGCAGCTGGGGCACTTCTGCAGCAGGACAGTGTATCTCAACCTTTTTAGCCTCAAGGCAGCCCTCCGCAACTTCTCCGAATTTAGCTGCTAGTCAGTAAATTGCAACCAGTACCCCAGCGTGCCACCAAACTCAGAAGAGTTATGGAGTGCTACCTTGACACTAAAAAGGTTGAGAATCACTTTTAGTTTAAGGAGTTACAGCAACAACATGCAGTTCCTCCTGTCTTTATATAATGGACATCTACAGGGTGGAGGTGCTTATGCCAAAGCCCCTAATGCAGCAGTTCTCAACAGGGTGCTGCCACTGTTGTGGGGTGCAACTGTCTCGTGCACCTTTGGTTATCAGGAAGCATGCAAGAGCTGAACCGAGAAGCGGCTGCAGGAGAAAGCTGTGTCCGCCTGCATTATGTTTCTGCTGCAATTCTCGCAGGTCAGCTCCAGAGTGCCTACCCAGAAAGGTTGGCAGCGACTGGTGTAGGGTTGTGGTTCTCGGCCTTTTCAGACTTGAGCCCCCACCTCCGGAAACTCAAGGTCCCCTCAAAAAATGACAGCTCTTAGTTTTCACTCATTGCTTGACTACAGAAAATCCTGTTGTAGGTGAAAAACAGGCTTGATTGGGACTGGAGCATCTTGTCTCACAGCAAAGCCCAGCCCATGCAGACCCACCAGCCCCTCACCCCACATGGTGTACCTGTGAAGCCTCGCATTAACACTCAGCCTTCGAGGGGGACAAGGCTGAACTCCTCAACGAGTTCTTTGCCTCAGTGTTCCTAAGTGAGGGGCACGACAAGTCTCTCACTGGGGTTGTAGAGAGGCAGCAGCAAGGCGCCAGACTACCATGCGTAGACCCTGAGATGGTGCAGTCGCTTGGAAGAACTGGATGCCTTTAAGTTGGCAGGCCCGGATGAGCTCCATCCGAGGGTGCTGAAGGCACTGGCCGACATCATTGCAGAGCCACTGGCGGGAATATTTGAACGCTCGTGGCACACGGGCCAAGTCCCGGAGGACTGGAAAAGGGCCAATGTGGTCCCCATTTTCAAGAAGGGGAGGAAGGAGGATCCGGGCAACTATAGGCCAGTCAGTCTCACCTCCATCCTAGGTAAAGTCTTTGAAAAAATTATCAAGGCTCACATTTGCGAGAGCCCGGCAGGACAAATTAGGCTGAGGGGAAACCAGCACGGGTTCATAGCAGG